AATTCAGAAGGTTGAGGGTTAATGGTATCGGTGATTAAGGTAACCGGTAATGGAGATGGTAGTGACGTTTGGGGTAGAGATGATAAACATGGGCTTTTTCTGAATTATAGGTGTTTTCTTTACTCTTGATTTATGCCTCTCTTCTTATTCTTTTTTTTTCATGTTTTCTAGGTTCAACCAAAGAAATGGATCAACAAGTGGTTTTCTAGAGTCCGATTGTAGGAGGGTGATTTGGCAATATAATTTGGTGGTGGCTAGAATTAAGGAATAAGGGTTGTGTTGGAGTTGTGGTTAATATGGTCGGATGGTGGAATAAATTTGATAGTGAAGTGGTGGAGAAGGGGTGATTACTCTGTGTTTGGCTGCCAAGAAGAGGAACCAGAAAGAAGATTTTCGTGTCTTCCTGTTATGTTTGTACTTTAATCATGGTGGGCGATGGAGATGATGGTTAGCGATGAGGTAAATAGGAGTAATGGAGAGAAGAAAGATGAGAATGAAACAAATACACGAAGAGAGGGTGGGGGTGGGGGTGGGGGTGGGTGAGGATATTTTAATAATTAAATTTAGGTTAAGGAAAGATAAAAGAAATCAAGAAAAGGAAAAAATATCATCTTATGTATCTCTGAGACCATTCATGTAAGTTTTAGAAACCATAGGGACCATTCATGTAAGTTTAAAAAACCACAAGGATCATTCATATAAAAAAATTAGCAGAGACTGAACTTGTGATATATGGTCAACCATAAAAAAAATTAGTTGAGACTGAACTTCTGATCTTTTATCAACCACATGGATCGTTTATGTAATTTTGTCTATTTTAAAATTTGATATTGATGATGCTATTTTTTAAAATACAATGATATTCTAACGAACGAAGTAGTATATAAAAACTTATTATATAAAAGAAGTAGTTATGTATAAAAACAGATAATGTTACCAAAATTAATTACATTTCAAATAGATTACATGAAAAAGGTAATTACATATTAAAATTTCCATTTCATGGAAGAAATCAATCTATTAAACTTAAACACCTGAAAACCAAAGCATATAATATGTGAACAATATGTGATGAAGATGAGGTTTAACCCCTCTATGTGATAGAACCAGAACAGAAATCAAGGTATTTGTTCCGATTTTCGGCTCTCTATTTCCTACTAAATCAGTTCTTGGTCCAGAAACCAAACACATCATAAAGATCACACTTCCTTATAGAACCGCATCGAAACTGAGGTATTCGGTCCAGTTTCTGGTTCTCCATTTTCCACTAAATCGATTCACGGATCTTCATTTCTCGTCCAGGAACCAACACATCCTTAAATCAAAATATACAAAGAAAATAACAAAAAAAAATGTCAAAAATATGAACACTTTTTATCTTTTCCACAAAATGTAATATATTAAAAAAAACTATTATATTTTGATTAATTTTTACAATTTAATCACTATGAATTAAAATATTCAATTAAAGCCATCAATGATGTTATAATTTTCTCTATGTTAGGCCATTAGTTGTGAAATTCATGTATTACATGAGTTAATTTAAAAAAAAAAGTTAAATATAAAGGTTAAAATATTTAAGTACTTTGAATTTATAAGAAAATAATAAAAATAATAATTATTATAATGAAAATGTTTTTTATATTTTAAATTTAAATAAAGAAAAGAAACTAATGAACTTTAATTTATTACTACATTTATTGCAATTGTTACATTAATTTGAAATTTAATAAAATAGAAAAACTCATAAAATGACATGTGGAAAAAAAATTAATTCAAAATAATCACAAAATGACATTTGGCAAATTGAATGAGAGTGTAACAAGTGACAAAAAAACTTTCATTTATTAGAGAGGATCATTGTGATATTCTAGAACGGTCACAATAAAAAAATTGTTAAACTTTAATGGTATTAATGGAAGACAAAATTGCAAAAACGGTCCCTGTGGTATGCATATTTTCTGGGTTTTAGTCCAAACCTTGACTTTTTTGGGTTGGTGGTCCTTTTGAGCTAGTTTACTTGCAGCTTTGATCCCTGTCCAAACTAAAAAGACTATTATACCCTTAATGAATTTAATTTTTATTTTTCTTTCACTTTTTAAAAGTAAAATTATTATTATTATTATTAATATCAAATATAAATTGGACCCACATATCCACCCTATCTATCTCTCTCTCTCTCTCTCTCTCTCTCTCCCCCCCCCCCCCCCCTAAAAAACCCACATAGTTCTACTTAGAAAACACACAGAGGAATTCAAACTCGGAGTCGGACCCAAATCTTTCTTGACTGTGAATGCCACCGGAGTTTCCACCGGAGAGAGGTAGAAGACGAGACTACTTCACAAATTCCTTTGACACATAATCCACCATCTTCGGCAGCAACTACTGTACATCCCTCTCTCACCATTTTCATACCACAATCAGAGTTTCCACCGTAGCCGATCACTATAGTCGGATTGTCACCGACCCCGTTGTAACTATTACATCATTCTCTCTCACACGTCTGCTTATATCTGTTTGTAACATGCCAACGGATGAACCCAATCAGATCTGTCTGTAACATCCCTTTCTCACCATTGTCGGACCGCCACTGTAATCAAACCCAGTAAAATTTATTCACTGTTCCTCCTGATGAAGATCTATTATATGCCAGCAAAGAATATGTCTTCAAGAGCGCCCATTATCAGATCACTTTCGAGATATCATGTAACATATCGAGCTCCAAAGCTGCTCTCGTATCCACTCCTGCAATTGTAGATGTATCCTAAAACCCAGATCCTAACATAAACTGTACTTTTAACTTGAACGAGCAAAACGGTAAGGGTGTTGCACATCCACATCCCAACAGTTCAAAGAAGAAAATACCCCGATCAAGAAAATTATCAGGGTCTAGTGGAGTCAAAATCGAGGAAAAAAATCATTCAGCAACAGCCCTCTGCTCCAGATATGGTAGAAGGGATTTCAAATTCTTCAAATTTCAATCCCTAACCTGGTTGACGAAACTGTAAGGAGTTATTTACCATTGTTAAAGGATTTGTTCGACTCACAAAACATGGGTGGTGGCAATTTCAGGGGATTCAGCTCAAGAGGGATAAATTTTGATCCTTTTTCTCTTTTCGAACGATTTGTTGATGTCTTCATATTGATCTGAGTTTGAGTTTGCTCCATGGCTGTGATGGCAAATGTGCAAATAATTCCAAGGAGCAACTGAGTTTTTAGATTGGGTGGAGTTTAATGGAGATTGAGGTGTATTGAAATAAACGGAAGGAGAGAGAGAGAGAGAGAGAGAGAGAGAGAGAGAGAGAGAGAGAGAGAGAGAGAGAGAGAGAGAGAGAGAGAGAGAGAGAGAGAGAGAGAGAGGTGGGCCTCAAATTAGGTAATTATGAGAGAGAGAGAGGTAGGCCCCAAATTAGATAATTATATTATTTTTCATTTAAATTAAATAGAAAAAGCATAAAAAAATATATTATTAGATCACGGATGGTTGATATAATTTCAAACTTTGATTATTTTATTGAACATTTTGATTCACGGTAGATAAATTGTAAAAATTTATAATGTTTCAAAAGAATAATTCATAAAAAAAATTGTAATGTTTCAAAAGAACGGTTTATAAAAAATTTGAATTATATATTTATAATTTCATAATACGAATGTCATATTTCACCCGGATATCATAAATTATAGTACATATGTTATAGTGTATTTTATAACACGAAAAATACCAATTTTTGTGGTTTTTGTCAGAGTGTTTGTAATTTTATTGCAGGTGAAACATGGAATTTTATAGGCGTCACTCGTGTAATCCTTGAATTCTAATATAAAGTCATTCGATTTATGGATTAAATATATTTTCTATTTCGATTATATTTTTGGTGATTTCATAGTATTGTATCAATTTCATAGGTGAAATCTTCGAAATTGGTAATTATTTTTAAACTTTTTCTTAAAATTTTGGAAAAAAGCCTAGAAGACTAGTTGTTTTTGTCTCTTTCTCTACAAAAAGTTAAAAGTAATTGATAAATAAATAATAAAAGGTAAAAAAAAATTTATTTCATATCTACTTAAATTGAAAAAAAAAAAACCAAAATATAGCATGAAAATAATAAATGATATAATTTGAACATCCATAATATAATAGTCTTGAAAAAAAATTATTTGAAAAACTTAAAACAAAAAGCTATTTTTATCTTCATAATAGGAAATATTTTTTCTACATGTTTTCTTATAAGACCCGTGTATAAGTTATATTTTTTACAATTTGTTGAAAATCAACAAAATCTAAATAACCATCAAATCATTAAAACAGATGTTCTAGTATAAAAACTTGTTATTTAACAAGCTATTTAAAAAAAATGTTCCAATAATTTTTAAGTTTTAATGAGATTTTTAGGATGGAAAAGCTCTATAAAGAAAAATCCAATAAACTTATATTTGGTATATTATATGATTTTAGATTTTAGATTTTAGAAACCACACAAAGAAATAGAGAATCCGAATTGAGATTTGTCCACATAAAGTGAAGGATGTAAGCCAAGAGAAAACTAAAAAAATTTCATGTACCTCGTCTACGTGGCTCTTTTCTGGCCACTTTTAGCATTTGCCTAACATACGCATTTTTTTCTTTACCTGTAACCTCACCCACTGAAACGACCCTTTTAATTACCTTCAACCACATCACTGTTTTTACACGGAATACATTAGCTGATTAGCATGAACTCATTAACTTTTTTATCAAGATTATTATTTAATGATAATAAAATTATTTTAGATAAAAAAAATCTAAGTAAAACAAATTGGTTTTAAATAGGGTTATTTCTATTTTCTATATATTTTATAAGACAATTAAAATTATATTTCCTTCGTTATCCACAACAAATCTGAACCGTCCATACTCTCAAATCTAACGATGGGAACCACCACCGTATCCTAAACCATATCCTCAGAAATCTTACAAAGACACCCTTCACTTCACTCCACTTCACCACGAGTCCACCACCATGGCTTCCGTCGCTCTCAAATCTTTCGTCGGACTCCGCCAAACATCGCCGGAAAATCACCATTCCTCCATCGCCACTCTTTCCAAGCCCATTTCCTCCAATCAAATCCATTACCGTCGCCTTAATGTCGTCGCCGGTAAGTCTAGCCCCAAAATCACTGGCCGTAACCTTCGCGTCGCTGTCATCGGTGGTGGACCCGCAGGAGGCGCAGCTGCTGAAACCCTTGCGAAAGGCGGAATTGAGACGATTCTGATCGAACGCAAAATGGACAACGCTAAACCATGCGGCGGCGCAATCCCACTCTGCATGGTCGGAGAATTTGACTTGCCCTTAGATATCATCGACCGCCGTGTCACCAAGATGAAGATGATCTCCCCGTCGAATGTCGCCGTCGACATCGGTCGAACCCTCAAACCTCACGAGTACATCGGCATGGTCCGCCGCGAAGTCCTCGACGCTTACCTCCGTGACCGCGCCGCCGCGGCTGGGGCAACAGTAATCAACGGTCTTTTCTTCAAAATGGACAAACCAACCGACAAATACGCACCTTACGTCCTCCATTACAACGCGTATGACGGCAAAGCAGGATCCGCCGGAAAGAGAGAGACTATCGAGGTCGATGCAGTAATCGGAGCCGACGGTGCTAACTCCCGTGTCGCAAAATCCATCGACGCCGGTGACTACGAGTACGCCATAGCGTTCCAAGAACGCATCAAAATCCCAGCCGATAAAATGCAATACTACGAAGACCTCGCAGAGATGTACGTCGGAGACGACGTTTCGCCGGATTTCTACGGCTGGGTGTTCCCAAAATGCGATCACGTGGCGGTCGGAACTGGAACTGTCACTCACAAACCCGATATCAAAAAATTCCAACTCGCCACGCGCCTCCGTGCCCGTGACAAGATCCTCGGCGGTAAGATCATCCGGGTAGAAGCTCACCCGATCCCGGAACACCCACGGCCGCGGAGACTGGCGGAGAGAGTGGCGCTTGTAGGAGATGCAGCAGGGTACGTCACCAAATGTTCCGGCGAAGGCATCTACTTCGCGGCGAAGAGCGGGCGGATGTGCGCGGAGGCGATTGTTGAGGGATCGGAGAACGGGAAAAGAATGGTGGATGAGGCGGATTTGAGGAAGTATTTGGAGAAATGGGATAAAACCTATTGGCCAACGTACAAGGTGTTGGATATATTGCAGAAGGTGTTTTACAGGTCGAATCCGGCGAGGGAGGCGTTTGTGGAGATGTGTGCCGATGAGTATGTGCAGAAGATGACGTTTGACAGCTATTTGTACAAGAAGGTGGCGCCGGGGAATCCATTGGAGGACTTGAAGCTTGCTGTCAACACAATTGGAAGCTTGGTTAGGGCCAATGCCCTTAGGAAGGAGATGGCCAAGATTTAATTTTTATTGTCTTGTGTTGTAATATTTCAAGAAACTTATAAATTGCTCTAATTTTGATGTGTTTTAATATTTTATTCGTTTAAACTTCATATTAAGAATTCCCAATAATTTTTGTTGAGACATTATTTTATCAAACACAAAACATATCATACCACCAAGGCATGAACAAGAAACATACTTTATAATGTTTTCATTCATAATCCTTTTAGAACAAAGAAAAAGATGTTCATCGGACCCAAGATTGCATGGCTAATAGACATTGTAGAAGAGATGATCTAGTTTGATGCTGACAACGTACCATTTTCTTGTCATGAAATTATATTCATTGGTACTTTAATAATAATTGCCAAATATCATATAAAATGATAATATTTTGAAGGCGTAGGAAATTTTGTATAAATTGTGGAAATAATTTTTCATTCACATGGAACATGTAAAACTAGTAGCACGATAGACATGGGTCCAGCACAGCATTTTCGGTAAAACGTCCAAAACAATTTTATGTTAAAGCTTTATTTATATCAAAATTGGTGTCTATGGTCCTAGATGTACTCTTTCTTTCTTTCATTTTTATTTGAGTGTTGTATCACTCTCAAAATGCGGCATCATCATGTTGAGGTTGGCTCGACTGTCGGTGGATTTTTTGCCTTCCCAACCCGTCACTTGACATGCAACTAATACTGATCATATTCAGATCCACTAAAATTCACGAGATAGAGAACTAAATTCGTTTTACTTCTTGAAACCTTCAGGAATTTTCAAAAGAGTTGTTAGCAACTATATACGTCAAACCAAAATCTAATTAGAAACTTTAACAGCGAGATAAATGAGTGAAGACTCTTGTCATATGATAATGTAGGCATATGTTAATGTCTTTGACGATTTGCACCTGTTAAAGCATCTTGAAGTAATGCTTTAAATGTGTAGTTGTTGCAACAAGGATTAATGTTACACAACAACAACAACAACAGTACAGAAGTTATGATTGCAACCACAATATTTAAAGCACGAGTGAAAGATGCAGGGTGTTTTATGAAGTTAGGTTTTAACCAAGGTTGTAAATATCGTTAGGTGGTAGCTAGTCTGTAAATTGGTTTAAGAGATTAATAGTTCTAGGCGGGGATTATTCGGAGGTTTATCAAAGACCCTAAGTTATTAAACAATTTATTTAAAAATAAATAAATATCACGAAATATAAAAAGTCTTATTCATTTTATGTTCATATACGCATACAAAATTACACATAAAGGTAAATTTTGAAACAAATAGCAAAATCGGATTCATTTTATGTTCAGATATATCGAAACGTCGTTGGCATGGAGGTCGATGTATGCACGATGAGAGATAGCGAAAGGTAGGAATGGGAGTGACGAGAGACAAATATATGTAAAACTTAAATTAGGATGTTTAGTTTACCATATGCATATTTTCATTCTATAATTATGACTTGTTTCAATTTTGTTGACTTATATTGATTTATTTTGATAGTTTTGACCATTTGACATTTTGACTAATTTTAACAAAGGTTCTAAATAATGTCAGGCGTGACTTGGCGGCAATGTCAAGCCTCAAACTTTTCCGAGCTATGACGAGTCATGTCGTTTGTAAGACGTGACTTAAGGCGTCAATTCTGTATTATATATATATATATATATATATATATATATATATATATATATATATATATATATATATATATATATATATATATATCATCTCTAATAATAACTTTGTTTGGTTTTTTTCTTTTTCTTATTTTCCACTTGTCATTTTTTGAGGTTTTCATTCTTACATTAAATTTTTAGAATTTATGGTTATATATATATATATATATATATATATATATATATATATATATATATATATATATATGAAAGGTTCTCATTCTATTCATGTAACGTTATTATTTTATTAATTTGAGAATAAATTCACATAAATGTTACAAACTTATTGATTTACTTTCTTTTTTCAATTACTTTATAAAATGTTTAATGTTTACATATTGATATTAAACTTTTTATTTTTAATAAACCCGTGTAGTACACGGGTATCACACATAGTGTGTATATATATATATATATATATATATATATATATATATATATATATATATATATATATATATAGAGCTAGTATCATTTGTTTAAACTAAGTATTGTGTTATCGTATTCATAAATGTGGGTCAAGAATTTGTTAACCGTATTCTATAAGAAATAATGTTTTTTTTGTTTTTATTCTTCAATTGATTGTTCAAGAATTTGTTATTCTACAAGAAGTTCAAGAATTTATGGTTCAAGAATATTTTTATTTTTGAGTAAATAATTAAATAAATAAACATATTCTGTCAGAATGTCCGAATTAAAATAGTTATAATTCGTAAAATTGGATTTTTAAAATTAATAGAATCTATGATCCCTTAAAATATGCAATTTTCCTTTATTAAATCTATTTTAATTCAATAATATATATTAATCACTTTATTAAAATAAGTAAAATTGATTGGCCCACAGTTATGAATACAATAACACAATAATTACTTTGAATAGAATAACCTAGGCCTATATATATATATATATATATATATATATATATATATATATATATATATATATATCTAAAATTCATTTTTATATACATATATGACTTAAGGTGACATTTTATTTAAGCTTGACGGTACGTACAAGCCTTGGAGCTATGGCGAAGCCATAACGAGCTTTTTAGAACCTGATTTTAAGTGTCTAGTCCGATTAATGATGGATTTTGACCGATCCCACCTAATATGACCGCCTAGCATGATTAGTGTAATGATATTAACACTTACGAAGTTTGTTGTAATGGTGGTAACACTTAGATATATAGAAACATTATTATATGAACTGGTGTCATCCTATAAGCCGTCCTCTCAACATCATGTTCCCTCATCTTGAACGGATGATGTCTTGACTGTAGATTAAATTTTGAAAAATAATTTTCTCCTTGCAGTTGGTCAAACAAGTCATTGCTCATAGGCAATGGTTATCTATATTTTATGGTTATGTTATTCAACACCCAATAATCAATGCACATCCATATTTACATTTATTCTTCTTGTAAAGTATTATCAAAACTCCTCACAACAATGAACTCGGTCTAATAAAAAATTTATCCAACAACACCTGCAATTTCTTCAATGAGCTCTTTCATGTTTATCAATCTTAAATGGTAAGGTGCACAAGCAATATGTGGCGTCCATTACACTAAGTCAATTGAAAACTCCAACATACAAATATGTTGTATTTTGTGGGAGGTTAAGAGGAAATACCTAATGTCATCCCCAACTATCACAATATATTGTGTAACTATTTTCTTATTTGTCATTTCGACCATATAACTTAAGAAGGATGCACAACTATTTTTAAGACACTTTATGTAACACCATCAAAAAGTCTATTTGAGATCTTCATTTGAAAAAAAAAGTTTTAGAAATAAATTTATAAAATAATAATCATTTAAGAAAATAATTTGTGGAAAATGGTCCCAAATGGTAGCATGTTTGCACAAAAGAATAGCACCATGCACGGGGGGGGGGGGGGGGATGTTTGTGGATAAAGATAGTCGGTGAGGAAGGAATGACATAATAAAGATGAGCGAAATTGTCATATCGGATAAGAGTTGCTTGCTTCGATAATTCTTAACAATAAAACCAAATTTGTCAAATTCATTGGTACATTTATCTGTACAAGTAAATTTACAAACACTTATAAGGTTATTTATGATGTGAGGAGTGATAACAATATTATTAAGGTGGAGAGTGCGATAGGGATTGCTTACATGAAATGTCATGTGTATTATCATAGTTACATGCATTCTAGAACCATTAATGACATATACATATTAGAAATCTTGATTATTTTTTATAGTGGTAAATATAGTTATATGCCTACATTTCCATATACATGCTTCGTAGCCTCGATGTCCATTACCCAACCATTATTATTATTCAGTTCATTAAGAGATATTATGTTGAAAAAGTATGGAAAGCTAGTGGTTTGATAAAAAAAACTTGCCCAAGTCAACTATTGTGAGATTTGTTGTTGGGTCGCGACAGAAATATGTTGGGCAACATTGAAATATGATGGATGTGTATTGTTGAAATGGTCATGTAGAGCTCTTACATCGGTGGTAGTTGTAAAAAAAGGATGCATAGCCAACAAGCAAATAGTGGGTTGGTGCCACTGTTTGGCTGAAAGCTAACGAGGCCGACAAAAGTCAGTTGGTGTGTCCAGTAGGAAACATTGGATAGTGGTTGTGGTAAGTTTTTCGGATGAATAAACACCCGATTATATTTTTGGTGTGTAGTTTTGTGTTGCCGGTTGTCACACCCCAAAACCGAAACGGCGGAATCGTTCGGGGGTGGAGGACGTCATGTACAGTATCACAACAAAGCATAGTAGTAAACAAGCAACAACATCATCCATTGCATTAATAATATAATTTCATACAAGTGTGTTCTATGAAGTTTATAAGACACCAAAAAATGTAAATCAAAAATAAGAGCTGAGTCTTGAACGAGCTCCATCTTCTCAAAAACCTGGCATCGGTACCTGTCTACTGATGACCTGAGAATACAAGTTATTTTGAAAGAGTTGATCAACTTTAAAGCTGGTGAGTCCATAAGCATTTTAGTGTCATTGTTTGTATGAAGATGTTTGTAAGTACTTGATGTAAGTTTGTAAATGTTTGTAAATGTTTGTAAATGTTTGTAAATGTTTGTAATTGTTTGTAAATGTTTATAAATGTTTGGAAATGTTTGTATCTCCTAGAAAATCCTATATTTTCTACTAAACGTAGCCTTCTACCAAGCCATCAAATGAAATGTGTGTTTGTTTCTTGTAAGAGTGTATATTTTCCCAAGTGTGACTATCATTAACCAATAATATAGTTTTACATTACCTTTTATGTGAAAAGATCACAATGTGAATGCAATGGGGAAATAATAAAGTACTGTAGTGTTGTATTAT